TTAAAATTAATAATTATCAAAATAGTTTTTATTAAAGTCTAGAAAAATTAACTTCAACAATTGAAATTATTTGATTATTACCTTAAATAATGAAATATTTGTATTTTGAACTCAAGTATTATAAATTTATAATTAATTTTAAAAATAAAAATTTTTTAATTAAAAAATTCGAAAAAGAAAGTTATCAACAATTTCTTATTTTACTTTTAATAAAGGAGGGGCTCATCTTTTTTTTTTGTTATAATATTTTTATATATTTTTTTTTATTTACTTAATTTTTAACAATATTCATTCTCGAATAACTGTATAAATGTTTTTTTCTTTTTATATTTAAAAAGTAAGGAAACTCTTAAAATGAAATATGAAAAAATTAAGTTTTAATTAAAAGAAAATTTTCAAATTATAAAGAATTTTTAGAAAGCAAAAACATTTATAGAGTTTTTCTTTTTGTATAAATTTTTGAAAATTTAAAAAAAATTTTTTTTTTAATAAATACCTAAGTGTACATTTAATAAATGAGTACATTTTTGTATAGTATTTTACTTATATAAAAAAAATAATAAAAAAAAATCATAAATGGAAAAGAATTTTTTTTCTTAATGTTTTTCTTATTAAATATTCACTTACATTATTACTGTTATTAATCTATATTCTTCCTTTATATTATATACAATTATTATATACAATATACAAATTTAATTAGAAAGTATATATGTATATACAGACACATACACATACACAATCATAATTATATTAAATGTATAGTATTAAGAAATTGTGATAAATTTCTTTTTTGATTAAATTAAAATTTAAGAAATCCTTAATTGAAAATAACAATCAAAAATAATAATAATTATTATTATTTAATTATGTACTTATTAATATTCAATTACTATATTCTAAAATAGCCTATATACATAATATTACATTTATATATTATATTATTTTAATTCTTATATAATATTTTTAGTATATAAAATTAATTTAAGAAAAAAAAATTTTTTTTTTCTGTACATTAGAATTGGTTCCTCTGTTCGTTATAATTAAATTTTGTATGGCTTTTTGATTTGTTTCGAAGACAAAAAAAATTATTGAAATTTAAATGCGTGAATAAAAAATAATGTTATATAACAAATATTTATTTGTGACCTTGTAATTGTAACCCTCTTTTTCTTAAGTCAATAATTTTAAATAGTACATTCCCTAATAAATGTAAAATGTAGATTTTTATACCCTGTACCGTTGTAAATGGAGTTTGTAATTACTTGAAGGAGTCGTTTCCTGTATGGACATGTATATATATATTCTTGCTCAGCGTAAAATTCTGCGTTTATTTAGAAATGTTCATCCGTCCGATTGCATTTCTGTCCGAAATTTTTGCAAGTTATTTCCTTTGTATCAAGGACGGCGGTTATTTTAATCGGGCTAATATAGACTACGGGTTCGGATAGCTTCTTACATCTCAAAGATGTTTTTTGTATATTAAAAAATAATACAAATATCAAATTTCGTAAAGGTAAAAGTACATATATTCTAAAAAATTTTAATGGAATGGTTGCATTGGTTCGTCTAGCTTCCATAAAACTCCAAAAGTCAATTTTAAATACTTAGAAAAATATTAAAGTTAGATGCATAAATTTTGGATATCGTGTGTCCAATTTTAAGTCAGACATATCCATTAAGTTTCCATTTAAGGAAATCTACTCAAGGTACGCAGGGTATAATTCAGTCAGTTCAGAATAAATTAAATGTTTTTACTTGTTTGAAATTTAATTTTGCAAATATGAAGTAATTTTGTAAGCAAAATTTTCTTCTTTAAATGCAACTAACATTTAATTAGACCAATCACATTTATTCTTTGATAAGCACATAATATTAATTTTACAAGATTTTAAGAAAGAAATAGAAAAGATTTCTTTGAAAGGAATATGAATAAACTCTTCAATATGGTAGGATAAAATGTAAAAATTTAAAATGAAAATAATTAGGAAATCAGCTTATTAAAAAGTTATAAAAATTATTATGTCTCGTTGAAAGAACACTAAATAAAATGAATAAAAGGATAACATTATTTATTTTTGAAACCGTTTACAATAGTGAAATTTAAGAATTAAAATTAAAAGAATTTGAGTTAATTTTGGATATAATTTAAATAAGTTCACGTTCCCCAAGGTCTGAGCTCTGAGTATAGAGCAGAACTAAATTATTTAGATATTGATAATATTAAAAGAATATTTGATCATTAAAAAAAGAATCTAATACAGTCAAAGGGGAATGATTTGTATAGCACATTTAATAAACAAAATTTATTATACAACATTATTTTTGCATAATTTTATAATTTAAGCTACTTGATGCTTGTTTATCTGGGGGAAAAAAAATTCATATAGATATGACTATGAAGCTACAGCTTACAATTTTATTATTATTTTTTATAAAGTAAGTGATTGTTGTAGTAATTTTGTTTAATTTAATACAATTTTTTTTTCAATAAATCTGTAATATATTTTTAATGGTCAGTCAGGTTAATGGATTAAATTTTTGTGTATTTTTTTGTTTAATTTTTTTTTTATTTTTTGGTTTTTGGTTTTTACTTAATTACAAATTAATAATTATATTGAATCCTTAATTAATGGATATGTAATGTTTTCGATTAATTAAATTATATCCTTTAAAAATTTTTTTTTTTTTTTTTTGGTTTTAGGTTTGCACTCCCATACATATTATTATTTTTGTTCCTACTTATTGAATTGAGTATAATTTTTTTTATTTTTGGATTTAAAAATTTATAAAATTTTTAATTAAATTTTACACAAGTTTCATATTAATTTAATGATATGTTATGAAAATTAATAAAAATAATCAATTAAATTATACAAAAAATTAAGTATTTATTTTCAATTTATTTGCACAGGTTTAAATGAATTGGAAACAAAAAAAAAATTTGTACAAGAATTTGTATTACAAAATTATAATTATTTTATTATAATTATTTTCTTATTGTTGCTGTTTTTTTTTTTGGAAATATTAAAAAAACAAAATTTTAAATTTTTTTTTTTAAATAGATTAAAGTCTAGGTAAATGCTTTGTGTTTTTATTAATTTTTTGGTTTCATTTTGAATAGTGGGTGTTCGATATTAATAATATTTTTCAAATATCTCCAATTTTAAAGTATAAAATAAATAGTTAATGAAAAATTATAAAAATTATAAATAAAAATAATAAGATAATGAAAATTACTTCCTATAGTCTCCTGGGAGCTATTAAAATTTTAGCCATCGCGCTTTTTGGATCATTCATTGAAATTAAATTTACAGAAATTAATCAAAATATTAGTCAATATTATGAAATATTATCTGACCATTGGTGCAGTGGTTATCGCACCGGTCCTTTAACCGAAGGGTCTCGGGTTCAAACCCCGGTCAGGTCACTATAAAAATTATAGTCAATATTATTATAACTTAATATACAATACTAATAAAAAAAAAATATTATACAAGTAATTTTCAAATATTCCTAATATTTGATATTAAAAAAAAAAACTAAGAAAAATAAATAGTAAATATTAATAACCTCAAATAATTAATATATAAATAAAAAACTACGGTAGGCTAGTCACCTACCTAGTTAAACGCTATGACGCTATGAAACTAGTGCATGAGAAATCATGCACTAGCCCTATGCTCCTTCTAGGAGTAAACAAAGGAAAAAAAAAATTATGAAATATACTAAGTCCTCGAGAAACGCCAATGTTGGGACAAAAACTTTAAATCGTTAATTAAGCCGTATTTTCTAATTGAAAATTTAAAATAACTTAATTACATAAATTAATCAGTTCATTTATAGTTATGTACTTAACTAGGTACACACTGTTTAATACTTTCGGATGTTAAGTGTGAGCTCTCAAATACTTTAATATTTTCGGAAGTGTGATTTCTCAAAATTGTTATCAAATTTTTTGAAAATTTACAGAGCTTTACTTATACACTAATACTTCTGCAACTTTTTAAAATTGAAACGTGTCCAATTTGGTCGTTATTATTATATGACTCGTGATCCGAATTAAAAAATTTCTAATGTCGTAATACGTATTACGAAATTTATGTCGGAAGTCGGAAAAAAATAACTTAAATTATATTGGATCGTATCTAGACATGTCGTATTAGGAAACGTAGCATTTTGGGGAATTAGTGTATGTAAACTATCTTCCTTAAAATAAGAAAAGTTTTCAGTAAAACAGCTCAACTAAATTGAAACAATTAGATCTGATTAAAAACAAATTGAGCTAAAATAATTAAAATCATTAAAGGTACAAATGAGTTCATTGAATAATCAAAACGAGTTGTAGATTATGAAAAATTACAAATAATATTTTAAAACATAATTGAATTTACGATATAATTGCAAAATATCTTATAAAACCCTGTCATACGTGTTGCTTTCAAAATTTATTGTATAAACTTAAACTTGAAAAGAAAAAGTTACAATTTAAAATTAAATAAATTTCATATTAAAAACAAAAGTCCCATCTCTATTATTCAGAATACCAAATATTCTGTAGGATTTCTTCCGTAAAATTTTGTTCTGCTTTTAGAACTAAAAATTATTTAGTTTTTATTCTAGAAACTAAATTATTTTTTAAATGAAAGAGTTTGTTATACATGAATTTTACTGCAAAGAATACAAATAAAAATTAAATTAAAATACAAAATAAAATAATTTAAAAAAAACAAAAACCCACCACAATCATAACGATTTCAATATTAACATTGAATATTTTGTATAACAAAATTTTAAAATAAATTCATTAAATTTTTTTTTTATTCATTTTTAAATTTTTGTATTAATACTCTTATTGAAAATGATAATAAGAAAACACGATAATATTCTAATATAAATTTAATTAATTTTTTAGATTTTTTACATTTTTTTCTTCTTTTTATTAAACCAATAATTATACTCATAATTATAACAATTATACCTATTCTGATATTTTTAGCCATATATGTAGCAAATAACAATAATCACCCCATATGCATAATTTTTTTAAATGCTTTACGAAATTCTGGATTAAATATTGTATAAATAATTGGATTAACAAAACTATTCATATAACCTAACCATGTTGTTAATATGAATACGGTAACACCAGGTGAACAATCTTTATCTAATTTTGTACATAATGCATCCATAATATTACATGAGAAAAATGGTAACCAACATATTAAAAATACACCTGTATTAAAAAAAAAATAGAAATATAATAAGCAAAAAATAAAAAAAAAATTATTAGAAAAAATTTTCATAAAATTTTGATAAGCATAAAAAATTTTATAGGAAAAATTTATTGCGGGCCCCTAAAAGTATGCAATTTTGTCGAAAATATTCTAACTATGGCTATTACTAATTCAAAATGAATGCAAATCAAATTGAATTGTAACATTAACAGTTATTACAATTAAAAATTAAATTTAAACTTTTACTCAAAACTAAAACCATAGTCACAAAATATGGTAACAAACGATAACAGTTGGATTAGACTTTTCAAGAAAAAATATGATGACTTAGATATCACATATCGTACATTTGCCACAACAATGAAACAAGTCAAAACGAAGAGTTGCAAACTTGCTTTTGTTACTATTATATTTTATTATATAAAGATTTTCTGTAATAAAATGATAGAGAAAATATGCTTGTATACGTGAAGAATATGGCTACACACACGTTTTTTAGCCTTCGATAGTAATTTACACTCGGCTATAAATACTTTAAGTTCCGGAAGTAGAATTTATATTTTTGAGTTGTGTTGTTATTCCTCTCAATATGCGATATGTATATTATAAAATAAGACATATGAAGAGAAGCAGAATTTTCACTAGTGAAAGGAATCATACTTCTCTTATGTTTTATATTACAACATCGCTCCTGGACACGGCCACTATAATTTGATTCTACTCATAATTTCCTTTAAATGCATAAAGCATTTTTAAAAAACAAATTTCTCTTAATTTTGCTGCGACAAATATTCAATGGTGCTTTACAAGAAAATTTTTCACTAGCGTGCTATTACGTAATCTATCTAAATTAAATTGTTGAAACTAACATTGAAAGATTTAGCAAGCAATACTACATTTTTTACAAATAAAATAATTAGTTTTTCTTTTAATGATTCATTCGATAAAAAAAAAAATCCTTAGTAATTACTAAAAAAAAATTGCTATCTGAATTTTTTGGGAAAGGAAAACAACGAAATTTCTTGTTTTTAAAATAACAAAAGAATGAAATTAAAATTTCAAACTTTTTGTAACAATTTCATTCCACAACCGTCTTTTATCATTTAAGTAAATTAGATTGCCGTTGTTAATTTTCCCTATTAACTCCCTTTTTTTTTTTGCTATACTTCTTCTTGATACTAAATGCTTCTTATCCTGATAGCCATATTAAAAAAAAAGAAAATGCTTTAGCAAACCTTTTTCTGTTATTTCATTTTTCCTTATGCTCTTAAATTTTTGCCTTACAAATTTTGTAAGGCAAAATTAACACAAAACAAAAAAGAGTGAACAATATAAATACAAGACGCCCTCTAGAATTTAAGATAAAACAAAAAATAATTAGCTTTACATTTGTTTTTTTTTTTTTTTTGAATTATTTTTTTGTTGTTGTTGTTTTCCTGTGTTTCTTTTTTTTTTACATTACTTACCTAAAACAATTGCCAAAGTTTTGGTCGCTTTACGTTCCTTTTTAGCTGATGATTTTTCTCTTTTCTTTTTTGAAGCTTTATGAACTTTATAAAGGGTGAACCTGGAAGCAATTAAAGTGAGAAAAATTAAAATGGCAGCAAAGAAAAAAAATGTTTATATATAAATATAAATAAGGATTTTTAAAGTTAATATGTACAAGGATAAAAAGAAAAAAAAATATTTAGTTATCAAAAGCAGTTAAGAGAGACAAAAAAAAAAATTAAAGTGTAAGAATACAAAAAATAAAAAATACTTAAAAGGTTGACTTCCTTTTAAATAAAAGAAAAAAAGAAAAAATTATTTTGCTGTTCATTTCAGAAAATTGCAGATCATCATTGTCGCTATCATCTTCAGTAGTACTAGAATATTTGAAAAGGCGTACAAAATGTACAACTCACGAAAACTTCACGAATCTTGGAATCAAGTTTCCATCTAGTTTAATACAAAATTTTATTCCCTTATTTTGTATTTCAAAGGAATATTAAATTTATTTTTGAAAAATAATATAAGAATGTTATACATAAAGGGCGAAAAGTTAAAGACTAGACAGTAAATTGTCCCACCGTGATTATTAAAATTAAAAAAATATTGTTGGTATAATAAAAATATTATTTATGCTAATGCTTATGTAGTAAAATTGATTTCCAAGATTCCATACTTCTTAACAAGTTTTGCTTATATTTTCAATATAATGAAATTAATTTGACATTGCATTGTATTTGAAAAAATTGAACTATTTCAATTTTAAATTTAGTATATGAAACAAAATTTTAAGTTGTGACATTTTAGACATAAAGTCAATTATAATGAACATATTCCAAATTAAAAAGAAATTAGAAAGAATATATGTAGTTGACCGTGTTAATTCTGTGATACACATACGAATAAACATTTACAACCTCTTATATTTTTTATGTATAATGCTATTTAATAAATATATGGCAACTGAAAATAACTGAAAATTATCAGCAATGTTCAAACAACTTATGGAGTTTTATGGAAGCTAACATAAGCAGTCAAAAAATTTCAACGGCTTTTATCAAACATAACAGCCCTAATTGTTATTAGATTTTGATTTGTTTGTGCAAATTTTCAAAAGTATACCTTGAATAATTTATATATGGTCAGATAACTTTTGAAATTATGTGGCAGCTATCATAAGCGCTCATGACACCTCAACAAATTTCAATAAATATAGTTGCCATTTTATCATTTTCGGTTTTCAAAAATTTCAATACTGTGGTTTGAACAGTTTTTAAGGTATAGAGCAATAATCTTTTCAAGATCTAATGCAGTTACTGGAAGGAACCAAGTTATTACAATAACTTTTATCAAACAAAATAGCTTTAATAATATAGCTCCTTTTACCATAACTTCTGCAATTTCTGAGATACAGCCAAAATAAACTTTGAAGCTGTAAGGCAGCTACCCAAATCAGTATTTCGATTATATCCTATTTAAATAGGGTTCAGATATCTACTATTATAAATGATTTTAGAAAATTAGATAATTTTACCTCAACTAGTTTTTGATTTATCATTAGGAGAGACGGACGGGCGGATAGAGCGACAGACATGGTTAAATCCTCAAGTACATCTTTTTAGCGCTATACAAACGGTAAGACAAATTTAGTACACCTTTCAAACATACGTTCGTACGGGTATAAAAATATTTTATCTTAAACACTGTGTTGAATCAAATTATTAATTCATATAAGTCTTTTTTTAAAAAATTCATAATATCTCATTTTAAAAGAAAATCTCTAGTGAGTAATTTTATTAGAAAGCCTAAAAAAAAGCAAGATTTTTCTTTTTATTATCTGTGAAGCAAACAGCCATGTCCAACAATTCAAAATATTCATAACGTTGATTTACCTGTTATGAGACAATTCAACTCTTTGAAATTTCAAAATGAAAAAAGGATATTTTTATCTTATCTCCATTTTTGTTTTAAATTTTATTTGATGCTCTCATTTTTATAAAGGACCACACAACAAGGACCTTATTTGTCTATTTTAATTTCATTATCATCGTTATTATTATTATTAGGAAAAAAAAAATTTATAAATTTTTCTATTTTAGGTTCGTTGCTAAATCAACGCCTTCTCTTGAAAAACAAAAAAGAAATTAACTAAAAAGAGATGTAAACATTAACGAAAAAAAAAGAAAAATAAAATATGCAAAAAAAATTAATTTTTATATTTTTATACCTTGATGTCTGAGAATTCTTTTTATCCTTTCGTGATGCTTTTGATGTTGTTGACATTGTTGAATCATGTCTTGTTAAGGCTAAAGCTCCTTGTACACCATAACGTACAAATGATAACGGTTTCATAGGTACACTGTTTAAGATATTTTATACAAACAAAAAAAAAAAATTAAGAATTAAAAGAAAAAAATTAATCATTTAATAATCAAAAGATAACAAGAAAATAATTATCATTTTGTGTTTGTATAATAAATTAAATGTAAAGGACAAAAATAAAATTTTAATTAATTTTTTATCAACACAAATCGTTCAAAAAACATTTACTTAATAATTAATTTTTATAATGGAATAATTATTTTGAATCAGACGAATTATTAAAATTTTTAAAATATTCTTGGGTAATTAAAAAAATTTTATTTTACTTAATCCTTTTCATATTTATAATAGAAAATTTTATTAATTGCCATTAGACTGGAAAATTAATGATCAATCATAGTTTTCTTAAACATTAATTCGATTAAATTTAATTTTAAGTTCAAATCAAGTTCAAAAATAATTTCTAATAAATTTTTCGATTATAATATTTTTGTTATACGTATTACAAATATTTATTTTTATATTTTTGTCTTGGTTTTCTTTAATTTATTTCTAAAAGTCTTTCAGTTTTTTAATTAAATTATTTTATTTTCGTGTTATTTTTAAATGTTTGATAAACGTTTACGTCGCAGACTAATTTTAATTACACTGGCAATTATAGGTTTTTGACACAATCAAGGTGAATGAATTAATCAATTTTGAGATTTTTCAAAAGGGGGAATTACTATTATAATGTATGTAGTGGGAATAATATTATTGGAGAGTTTGTTGTGTTAATAATAATTGCTCTAGTCTTTCTATTGAACTATCTATTCTATTGAATTGATTCAGAACAAAAAATAAATCTATAATGGAATAAAATTAAAAATTATTCAACGCAAACTAAATAGCTTTTAAAATTATTTTGTTTTTGAATTCTCGAAACATTAAGAAGTTATCTGTGAAATTAAAAAAAATTAATAAAGCCCTACCAAAGCCTACAATTTTATATTACATTTATGACATTTTCTATAGCTAATGAAAACTTAAAATTCATATCCTCTCTGCACGTCGTGTAATTCAAAGTTGACCAAATTATTAAATTTATATCATTGGTGAAATAAACGATATTATTAAGGTACGAGTAACTTTTATATTAAAAGAAATTGAAAATCTGAAAAAAAATTTATTGCTTCTATGCTATAAGAAATAGAAAAAATCTAATGTGATCAATACATAACCGACCGCAAGACGTATTGTCTGGTTTAGAGAAAATGTTGCACAAGATTATAAAAATAATTTCTGGAACACTTCTTTTAAATTTTAAGTGAATTTGGCACTTGGTAGAGATTTACTTTATGCTATCTGAATTCCCTGGGAAGTTCGTCAGTTATTTTCGGTATCAAGTATTAAATTTTAAGAAATTTCGTTAAATAGTTCCTTAGATATGATAAACAATTTAAAATCGGCCGCTAGTTAAAGTTCGATTTCCTACCCTTGATATTCCCAAAAAAAAATTTAATTCATTGGTTTAACACTCTGAATTTTGAATGTTGAATTTCAATGGAATTGGTTGATTATTTCCTTGTATATGTACAAAAATGTAAATTCGACCCGAAATAAAAATCCGGTTGCTGACACCTGATTTCCTCAAAAAATCATGTCACTTGTTCTATTGTCAGAGATCTTACACATCATAAAAATCTGTTCATTATTTTCATAAATATAGATAAAAATGTAAAATTAGCCCGAACTTCAGATACTGGTCCCCACAGACAAAATGATACACAGACAGTCAGGCAATAAAGTTTAATTTCAAGTGGATATTATATTTTAAATTTTTTTAAGGTAAATAATAAAAATTAAAAATTTTAATCATAAACGGTGAAAATGACCATAAAGCTTACACAATTCTTTTTATAATTAATTTTCACTCCATGTTAAATTTCAAACTCAAAACAAACGAAAATTTTTTTAAATATTTTTTTTGGATTATTGTACATTATAATACCGACTACGTTAAAGTTTCATTAAAATATTTGCTTCATTTTCAATATTATTTACCAATTATACCATATTACAAAGCAGATTACAAACCATAATGTTTAAGATAGATGACCAATATAGTACACTCTGATATATTGCAATATACAGAACAGTAGAACTTAATATGAAACGCAAATATTGGTTTTATTCAAATTTAATAGGTACACAGATTGGATTTGTACGTATACAAAATTGTGTTTATACATTACGCATACAATATTATACCACATGAAAAAGGAAGATTAAGGTAAATTTTTAGTACCAAAAAATAATATAAATAAACCGAATTAGTTCCTATAATAGAACATAATAATATAACGATATAGGGTTTTTTGTGTTGTTTAAAAAGTTGGTTTCCGTTAAAAAATTTCACACAAAATCCTATAATAATTCACAAACCTTCCAGTTATATTATTATACCAACTACTACCATATTAAGTAATTTTCAATTGAATAATTATTCATAGAATAAATTTTCATATTATACATGTAGTTGCTGTTTTTTTTTCAGACCATGGCAAAAATGATTACAATATAAATAATTTCAGATCCTTGTAATGAAAATTTTGTAATGGAAAATTTTTACTTTAATAAAGAACATGGCATGAATATACATGTAAGTCACAATATATTCTATGATATAAATTTTTTATTCATTCTATGTTTTAAAAAATAATTGAAAATAAAAAAAAATAAAGTCTCACCCCGTTCCTTCTCGTTTTGGTGAACCTCCATTTGCTTCTAGACCATTCCTTTTACTACTTAGGCTACTAGTCTTCTTTAAACTTCCACTTGGCATTGGACTTTCTGGTGGTGTCAATTGTGTACTATTTCCTGCAATAACATCATCAACGTTTGATGGAGCATAACCAGAATCATGATTACCATTTGGATCCGCTACAACCAAATTTGGGGTTGTTGTTATCTGTGCCACAACACTGCAATTTTTTTTTAATAATTTTGAATTTTGACTGCCACGAAAATAATTTTTTATAATTTTAAATTAAGTGTGAGCTCTTTATGAATTTTTAAAAATATTTTTATTTTGTTATTTAAAACACGCGATATATTTATAAGGTATTTAAGGCATTTATTTTCCAATTATTTCAAATTTAAATGAATATTTGAATATACATTTGAACGGTTTCAAATTTTCACAATTTTCTCTGAAATTCAAGTTGTTGTACTAAAATTTAAGCAAGAATTTGGATATTATTAAGGTATGAGTAATCAAAAATGATAACTACCTTTCATTTGTACAACAATAACCTCATTACAACTAAATTTTCCCGCTTACCGGAGTTCATAATTAATTTTACCCTAAAATCACAATTTTTTGTTTTAATTTTTCCAAAATTCAGCATTTTCCAAATTTATTGAATTGAGGACACAATCAAAAACTGAGATTACCATTTAATGCCATTAAACATTTACATTTAAAGATCTAAGCATTTGCACTTTTGTTTTCTTTTATTTAAATTTTTTAATTATTTAAAATACACATTCATTTGCTTTACAAATACCGACAGATTGTTTTTATATTTAATGTATACTTCTATACTATTCACAAAGAAACTCACACCATTATGAATACAAATAAAAATATTCTTATTAAATAAATATTAAATCAAATTAAAGTACTCACTTTCCAGTTTCTTCAACAACAGTTGCTAACATAAATTCAGTTGATTTATCATTTACAATAACATGACAATCATCAATATCTTCTGGTGATATTGCGTTTTCATCTTCTTCTTCATTTGAACCAGATGCAGTATTTGTTGGTTGATCATCTGGCATAATACGAGCACCAGTTGTACATACAACACCAACACCACGTATACTACTATCTAATGTTGTTTCAGCTAAACGTCTTGTTTGTGCTACATTTTCAATAACACTTCCACCTGTTGTCATATCTGATAGATTTGGTTTACGGGCAGCACGATGTTTTAGGGCACGATGTCGCAAAGCCTAAAAAATAAATAAATATAACAAAAACGAAAAAAAAAGAAAAAAAAAAATTCAGACTTTATTTACTTCTAATTTCTATTTATATTGAATCTATTATTCATTTTGTATGTTTACCTTAAAAATATTCCAATATAAAAATACCATTATAATACAAGGTATGTAAAAACTGCTTAATGATGAATATAATATAAAATCGGTATTATAAAATATACATAGATCTGGTTCACGATTTGGTGTATTATTTAAACCTAATACAATTGGTGAACCAATTGCTGCTGATATTGCCCATACTAATAATATTGTTAAGCATACACGACGACTATTTTTATGTTTTGCATATTTTATTGGTTGTGTTACAGCTATATATCTATAAATAAATAAATTTTAAGAAAATAATATTAGAGTTTTATGAAAGTGTTGAAATTTATTAATATTTGTATGATTCAGAACTAGATTATATACCGTGATAACACTGATTATGTTCTAGAAATATTACATTCTTTTTAGAATATTAAGTCCTAGAAGCCGTACAGGTTACTAACTATTCAGAAATCTGTTTGTTAAAATTGTATTGTAATGTTGGAAACCTGAATCTGTTAATGAATATATGTCAAGCTATTTGTTAGAAAAAACTTGAATGCGGATGTCTTCATATAAAAATCCAAATAACAAATAATGCTAAAATTTTGATTCAAAACCGAAAAATGATTTTTAATAAGCTTAAACTTGCAGTATAAATAATTTGGATCTTACTGTCTTATAATATTATAAATTTAGAAAATTGCCGGTTTTCAGGCGCTTGATATACGCTACATAATGTTATTATTGCATGAAGAATGACATGTAATTTATGATAAAGATTAAGAAATAAAATTTTTGTGGTACATTAATAATATCGAACATTAATACATTAATAATAGAACTATTATGGATGTTAAATACGGCATCATTAACTCGAAAATTAAGAACCTAAGAATTTAAAAATAAAATTTTAATGGTTTTAGTGACAGTTTATAGTTCACTCAAAAATTCATACATATACTTCGAATGAAAATAATCAATTAAAACCGAATAATTAATCAATTAAAACCGTAGCCATAGTATCAAGTTGAATTGAATTAAAAAATATACATATACAATCCCATTTTAATTTAATTTAAATTTAAAAAAGAAAAACAAGAAAAATTGAGTTGATCATGTTAACTCTGTGATACCCGTATACGAATTTGCTATTCTATGGACGAATAAATATGTCATAGTTGTCTGTGGGACAGACTAAGACTTCAAATACGCTAATTGGCTTTTATAAAAAAATGAAATAAATTATCTTTTTGTTGTTGAACCTTTTGAAACCAACTTTATTTGACCATTTACTGGAACATTTACTTTACAGAAAAATAAGAAGAAAAGTTACGGGTAGTTGAATTTATAATACTCTTCCAGCATAAGTTCGCACGGAAATAATAGTAATGTTGTCGTATTACTAAATTACATTATGCAAAATTTAAGATATGACTAAACAACTATTTTAGTTGTGTGGCAGCTACCATAAGTACTATAATCAAAAGCTACCAAAAACCAATAAATTCCAAATTACTTTTATCACACATATATAATACCCAATAATACAATGTTCACTCGAAATTTCTGTAACATAGCTGTAATAATTTTTACATTTAGCCGAAGAATTTTAGTACAGCCTATAACTTTTAATGTTGTAGTGCAATTACCCGAACTACTGCCCCAATCACATTAAATTTAAATAGGGCTCCAGCATTTACTATTATAAATCATTTGAAAATATCGGACAGACGGGCAAGCATGATTAAATCGACTCAGAATTCGAAGCTGATTGAAAAACATAAAATTAAGTTGTCTCTATCTCAGACCATTATTTTTTAGAGTTACAAACGGTAAGGAAAATTTATAATAAGTTCTTACGGGTATAAAAATGCATCTTAATTGAATTAAAACATTTGATACCGTAAATCAATTTTATTTTTAAAATAATTCATCAATAATAATATTATAATATTAAAATAAAATTTATTCATTATTATTTTACAATTAAATTTCTACAATTATTTTATTTAACGGTATACATATATATCCATTTCCGATTGCTAATATAATTTCATTTCAAAAAAAAAATTAAATTATTTAATTTTAATAGTTTTTTATGTTCATTTAAATAATTATTTTAATAAATTATTAAAAATTTATTTATTTTGGCAATTAAATATTGTTATAATTATATTAATTTATTACCTGTCTATTGATATTGCAACTAAATTAAATATCGATGATGTGGAACATATCACATCCATGGCAATATAAAAATCACATACAAAATTTGGGAGAGACCATGCACCGTTTACCTAAAATTAAATAAAAAAACCAAAAATTAAATTTTGTTCTCTTAATAAATAAAATAATTAAATTTAAAAAAATAATTTCAATTAAATATAGACTAATATGTGTTATTTATATATGGTAAAATATATTTTAAATTTAAATATTCCAAAATTTTAATATTCATTTTCTAAGGCTTTCCACTTAAATGATCCAACAATTAAGTTTTATCCGCATCGTATAAGTAATTATTTTACTTAGATTAAATAAACTTCTAGTTGAAATTCAGGGTCATGCATATTCTTCTAATTTGAATCATCAAATTTTTTTAGTCAAGGAAATTTTAACAGGGAACTACAATTTCTTTAACATTATTACAGAATTTTATTATATTTCTCTTACTAATCGAAGCTCAGGTAGCATTTTTAACCGCACAAATTTCTTCGAATTTATTTTGCGAAGTTTGTGTTTTCCGATTTATTGACATGAAAATTTAAGGAGGGACAATTTTTTTTAATTATTATGCATGTACGATTTTTCAAATTGTCAAAAATATTATTGGCTATTCCTAATTATAGAAAATCACTCAAGATTAATTAGTGATTGTCTGTAATAAGCAATGCTCCTTAAATGAAAAAAGCATAAAATTTTAAAAATTTTCAAGTTTAAAATAAAAGACTATCAAAAATTAAAATCAAAAAATAAATTCTTGTTTTTCATCAAGGAAATTCTCTCTGTAAGTAAATAAATTTTATTCACACTATAAGATCAATATCATAGCTGCCAAACCCAAAATCAAAACTGAGGGATATCGATTTTAGAGTTTTCAACTTAAAATATTCTATAAGTATCTATATTATCATAATACCATAAATTTAAGAAAATATTTTAAGAAATCGTTTGAGGTTTTATTTATAAACATCTTTTTTATAATAGTTATATAAAAATTCATTCCCATTTAAGGAAAATAAAAATGTCCTTAAAATATTTTTTTTCAAAATTTTCTTCTTTTTCCTTGTAAATCTATATAAACATCTCCCACAAACACCTTCAGGGTCATTTAGATTAAATCTTCCCTGTTATTCCTTTCCTTTTTGTTTTTTTTTTGTTTCATTGTATAAGCATCATAAGACAATGATATTAATTTTATTTTTGGATATATCTAATTTATGACAAGTGACAAATTTTCTTAACTCTTGTGACAAGGTCAAATATCTTATTTATTTATTTTTTAAAATAATAGAAAATATTAGTCCCAATACATTTAGAGAAATTATAAATAAATTATTGTGTCCCATTATCGTCCCTAAAAATTATTGTTGTTATTTGTTTTTTTTTTTTGTTTTTGCTTTCTTGATTTTTCGGAAATTTCATTTATGACACTTTTTATTTAAAATTTCTTTAAGATATTTTTACAATGACCTTCTCAATTTGTTCAATAAAAAATATAAATGGGAAGAATATCCTAATTAATTTTTTTAATACCCAAATGACTCAATGATTATTATTAAATGACTAATAAAAAAAATTTAATTTTTTATACGTGTAGTAGAAATGAAAACCTATAAAACAAGGAGTAATTCAAAGAATTCTCATACCAGCAAAATTTTCTACATCTTAAAAGATATTAGCTATAGGCCATCTCTTACAATCATCACCTTTAATTTTTGTTATACTGAATATAAAACTTGCTACTTAATATTAAAATTTCTGTATATTAATCCTAAATTCTCGGAATTTCAATAAACTGCAAATATTGAATTTTTTTTTAATTTATTTTCACCTTTTAATATCTTAAATATGAGCATTGCATTAGAATCTGTATGACAGTAGTATAGTCTATATGACAAATTAGATCTTATTAATAACATTAAATATAATGAAAATAATTATTAATATTAAATTTATATCAATATTGACTGACATTATCATGTGCTATTATTATTAATATATAATAGAAAGTACTAATGAAAACTAGTGTATAAAACAATTTTATTAACTAAAAAATTGTCGTGTCATTCCTAATTTATTTATAATATAAAGAATTATTTATATCAAATATACATAGCTGATATCACGCTATTATAATTATTTCTACATTGTAAAAAATTGTTTTTGAAATTCGAAAGGATCTTCTACCAGTTGTACAGTGCAGTTAAAATTCTCACAATATAATTTTGTATGTGAATTGAATGTTAAAATATCAACACAAAATAGTGGGCGATTTAGCGAAGATGACCTCAAAAATGGGCAAATAGAGTATAAACAAGTAAAAACGTTTCAGTCGGTATAAACCGATTGAATTATACCCTGCACCTTTCGTTGTTGTATAGCAATTACTCAAACCTGTGAAATCATTCTATAGAAACTTCACGGACATGTCTGACCTATACATCCGACTGCTAAGTTTCATGAATCTGACTTTATTTTTCCAAATATTTAAAATAATCTTTTAGAGTTGTATGGCAAGTACCCGAACCTGTCAAGCAATTCCATCAAAACTTCAGAAATATGTCTGACCTATAATTGGACACACGACTGCCAAAGCTCATGAATCTGACTTTATTATTTTTCCAAATATTTAAAATAAGCTTTTGGAGTTGTATGGCAAGTACCCGAACCTGTCAAGCAATTCCATCAAAACTTCAGAAATATGTCTGACCTATAATTGGACACACGGCTGCCAAAGCTCATGAATCTGACTTTATTATTTTTCCAAATATTTAAAATAAGCTTTTGGACTTGTATGGGAGCTACTCGAACCTGTCAAGCAATGCCACTAAAACCTCAGAAATATATCTGGCCTATAACTCGACACACAACTGTCAAGTTTCATGTATCTGACTATATTATTTTTCCAAATATTTAAAATTAGCTTCTGGAGTTGTATGGCAGGTACCCGAACCTGTCAAGCAATTCCTCTGAAACTTCAGAAATATATTTGACCTATAATTGGACACATGACTGCCAAGTTTCATGAATCTGACTTTATTATTTTTCCGAATATAAAAAATTTGCTAATGGAGTTGTATGGCAGCTACCCGAACCGGTGCAGCTATCCCATTATAATTTTTAGAGCATGTGTAGAATATAATTGGACACATGTATACAGAATTTTTTATTTATAGCTTTATTAGTTTTTGAAATATTTAAAATAAACTCTTTGAGTTGTATGGCAGCTACCCGAACCCGTTGTCCGAATTAGTCCAATAACAATAGGGCTCGTCCTTGGCACAAAAGAAAAAACTTGTGAAAGTTTGGTGTCGATTGCATTATTCGTTTTTGAGTTATCGTGCGATCGGACGGACGGACGGACGGACGGACGGACGGACGGACGGACGGACGGACGGACGGACGGACGGACGGACGGACAGACGGACATGTCTAAATCGACGCAGAATTTTACGCTGAGCAAGAATATATATATATGTCCATACCGCAGATGACTCCTTCAAGTAGTTACAAACTCCATACCAAAGTTAATATACCCTTCACGAAGTGCAGGGTATAAAAACGATCTGAAATATTTTTGATTCATGTTTTATTTGGAATTATATCGAATTTACATTAAAATCTGTATCATTATTCAACAAAATCTGATTCTCTGAATTCTCTGAAAATTACCCGTTTCAAGTCTTCGTCGATTATTTTCGGTAACAAACAGAGCTCAAATTATTAAAAATTTAATGGGTTATGCAAAATTCATCATGAGATCTGGACAGTAGTGGAATCCCAATTACTGAAATTATGCTCGTAGCACATTAAATTTTATAATCGTACTAACTCGAATAAATAAAATTTGAGTCTATTCGTTGAATTTATTTTAGCGAATTTTACGCTCGAATTTAAAAATAAATCCCTCGATTCAAAGTAATATTTTTTTTTCATTCTTTCTTTTTACCGACCGCATACAATAAGGGAGGTTATCATAAATTCATAGAGAGTTGTCAGTCTGTTGGTTTGCATAAGCACGTCTCAGTTTCGGCCAAATCGATTTTGATGAAATTTTTTATGTGAGTTTATTTTAGCTATGGCACGGATTGATTAAATTTGGGTTATAAACTTCGAGAACTGGACAGTTTTTGCAAGCCGATTTTAAATTTTTGCGTATATAAAGAGAAAATATCAACCAGCCATCATAAATATTAGTTAAACTCTATAGAAACAAAAAATCTTGGCGACTTTTCTACTTGGATTGGCTAAAATATTACTTGGGTATTTTATTTTTACAATAATAATTAAAATAAACAAAAAAGATTTGGAATAAGTCTCAATATTATACTTAATTTTAACTTAACTACAATAACATGTAACTGATAATCTTTTAATTTATACCCTTAATTTGGAATAAATTAATGATTATCAAATAATATTATAATAATAGTATCAAATAATAGGTATTAGTATAAAGAAAAAATAATATCGATCAATTATACTATAGTCAAAGAGTTCAGTAAAATAAAAATTAAAAAAAACAAAATAATTTGAAGCCTAAATTGAATAAAGGAATCAAGTTGAGGTAAAAAATGCTAATAATTTTGATCAATTATTATTTGTCACGTTATTCAATATAACAGAATAAATTAAGATATGCGTTGCTATACTATAATTATACAGTTTAGTTAATAATTTAGAAAAGAATAAACCAAAATTTAATAATAATATACTATCGATACTCTTTGTCATGTAATAATATTACAATTTCCATCATATCCACGATTCTAAATCAATTATTATAGTATCTGCTATTATAAAAAAATATACACAATACAATTTTAATAAAGAAAACAAAAGTATGACAATTTAATAAAATATTTCTATTTTTCCTCTTATCATGTGATTATTTTGACATTTTAATAATTCTATACATTAAGTGGGGGTTTTTTTGAAACATATATAATACGCATTATAAGCTTGTTGATTCTAAATACGATGACGTTTCCATTTGTAAAGCATTCGCAATCGATAATCGTATTCAATGTTTAGTTAATTGAATTCAATGTATTTTGGGACACACCTACACTTTTGTTCTTGAGT